AGAAGAAGAAGAAGAAGAAGAAGAAGAAGAAGAAGAAGAAGAAAAAGAAGAAGAAGAAGAAGAAGAAGAAGAAGAAATTGAAATTGAAATTGAAGAAGACAACAACAAAAAAGACAAAAAAGAAGAAGAAGAAAAGTAAGAAGAAAAAACGATGAAGAAGAAAAAGAAGAAAAGTGAAAAAGAAAAAGAAAAAGAAAAGAAGACGAAGAAGAAGAAGTCGCCGGGGACACATTTATTGAAAAGTCATGCATCATGTCTCAATGATATTGGAATGAAGCCATTCGCCCGATCGTTCATTTTTTGGACTCTGTCCAGGAGGCAACTGTTATTTTTACCCGCCGTATTATTTCTTATTATGATCTTTCTCCGATCCATCCAAATTATCTAAATGAGGAATCTGTTGTAAGTGTTTTTCCTTCCCGTCAGGTAAATATATATGAACCAAATAACGAAATTATCGAAAGCCTGCAGTGTCCTCATTCGCCAAGCAAAGATAAAGGGGATGTATTTGTTTATAAATACTTCTGTATTTAACGAAATTATGCAGCTTCTTTCAACCTGAATGCGGCGAAATCAACCTCATTTATGTTACTTGCGTGGATTTCTTCTCAATGCTTCGAACGATATCACTCTCGTTTTTTCATGTTGTTGTTTTTTTACATATAATATTATTTTATTCTTATTCACCAAACGGTCTTCGTTCGTTATTCTGTTTTGATTACCCGTGACCTAAAGAGAAATCAAACGCCGGCCCTCTCAGTCGAGACAGAAGAGTTCTAAATGTAAATAAATAAGTTGCGTTGATGAAACCGAATGGAAGAGAGGACGACTCGCTTCTAAGATTACCGACTTCCGGTCACGTAATCTGGGCGCCCAAGGGACGAGAAGAAATTATGAGGGGAAATCTCCAAGATATTGCACCGGGGATTGGAGGGGAGATGAATGATGGATGGCGATTTTATACGTCTGGTGGTTTGTGTATGGAAATGTCCCCAGTGGAGAGAGATTGAGGCGCGGGAAAACCTCGGGAGTCGGCTGAGCTTTGTTGATGTAGCTAATATAAACTTTGGCGAGCTGGATGTTGTTAGAATGATTGTTCCGGTTTTTGGTGTTCTGTTTGGTGTTTTTAGGGGTTTTGTTTGTTTGTTTGTTTGTGTATTTTTCTGTGTTCTGTTTTGTGGGGTTTTTTTTAGTTTTTTGTTTGTTTGTTTGTTTGTTTGTGTATGTGATGTTTAAGGGATTGATTGGGGGGGCATTTTGTTTTTTGTTTCTTGTTTGTATATTATGTTCGTGTGTGTGTTCGTTTGAAGAGAGAGAGAAAGAGAGAGAGGTGGGGAGGGAGGGACGGAGGGAAGGAGCGAGGGAGAGAGAGCGAGAGAGAGAGCGAAAAAAGAGAGAAAGATGTGGGAGAGAGGGAGGCAGGGAGGGAGGGAGGGAGAGAGAGAGAGAGAGAGAGAGAGAGAGAGAGAGAAAGAGAGAGAAAGATTGGGTAGAGTGGGGTGGGGATTAGGAAGATATTTTTTACTCACACTATTATCCCAAACGTCCAACTTCCTTTGTTTTGTTTTGTCTTGCTTGATTTTTTCGCTGAGTAGCCGCACTTGCTTCTGCGACATGCCGTGTATAACATGGGCCAAGTGATGGATGGGAGGATCAAGACATGAGGGAGGGGGGGAGGGGCTGATAAGATGTATAGGGAACAGAATGTGCACAAAGAATCTGAAGCAATCGGAGAACGATACAACGCTTCTGTGTCGATAAGAAAGACGACGATGGTGATGTAAAAACAGCGACCTTGACGACAAACATAACGGATTATGATATTATGATGATGACAAGAATGATGATAATGGTGATGAAGGTGATAATATTATTAATAACAGCAACAACAGTAAGAATGATGGTAGCAGTGGTATTATATTGATGGTTGATGGGCTAGGAAAATTGTGAGTCATTTTAAAAAAAGGAGATACTTGTACAAAGGGATTTGTCATAGAGAAGAAGAAGAAAAAAAACCGAAAACCAAAAGAAACTGAGGGGAATATTGAAGAAAATATGAAGAAAAAAAATCCCCTGCGATTATGATACTAAGAATACTACGGAGAACAATAAAGACAGGAATAATTTAACGGAAATGGCTTTGATTTACATACAGACACGTTTGAAAATGATCTTGCTCCATGGTGATCCCAGATAAAAAAAACCCCACTGACTAGGATAGTTATTTTAAATGTCAAACGAAGAACTTAAAATGTTCCACTGGATTATTTATTCGTGTTCTTATTTTTTGTCATGCTAATCTTTCATTCATCGTTTGTCGTTTACTTGTTCATAGAATTTGTTTGGTGGGTGGTTGGTTGGCGGGTGCTCTGGTGCGATTTGCTTTCTCTTTCCTATCAAACATCTATCGTCATTACCCCCCTCCGCTACTTCTGTTATGTGTTTGTTTCTCTCTTGTAACACCTCTAATCTTCGGCACTTATATGGCATTAGTGTGTTGCAAGTGCCGTGAAACTCTTACAAAAACAATAATGCGTTTCTTTTTTGGTTTTCTGTTGTTGTTTTTTTCTTCTCTCTTTGGTTTCCCTTTTTTAAATGATTTTATTTGGAGGGGGAGGGGCGGG